CTATAATAATAAACAACTCTGGGCAGCGGGGACAGAAATAACAACAATGACGAAATTGACAGGACTACTGGAGACAATAAAAGAAAAGGGACTAGACATACACATGCTCTTATAATCATTATACTATTTTGAGGGATGGTTGAGACATTACGATTGATAACGAAACAACAAAACGGAAGGGACAAGTTCTCGGGAACGGGAACAGGAACAGGAACGCAAATGACGAAGGAGGGATAATAGATAGTAGATAATTGTGTAGGTACGGTAGGGCGGGAGACGATGAAAAAGATGTTCTTGGCAAGTTTGGGGGTTGGAAATTGGAGAAAAGAAAATGAGATAATAGGGGGACCCAAGGAATCGCTGGCAGGGATGGAGGAAGGGGGGGAAAGACCCCGTCTATTATCAGCTGAGGGAAACGAGGGTTTTTTTTTTTAATTTTTTTTTTAAATCCTCTCGGATTCTCATGCCGTACAAGCAACAGCTTAGGTGTATTTAATACTTAGGTAGGTTAGTTAGTTAGTCGGGTAACAGGTATGTAGGTACACAAATTAAGTATCTGTCGCATTATTAGGTGCGCACTGGGAACTATTCCAAAAATTGATAGGCCAGGCAAACATAGGCAGGTTTGATGTGCTAGTTAGTTAACTAACATTATGCTGCTTTACTTTTACTAGGTACCAGATACATACCTATGTAATATAAGTGGTTACATGATACGACCGATAAAGGCCCAGTTGGTTCTTACCGTATAGGGTACCTGATAGTATATCTAGGACCTAAATCAGTTAGATCGCTAACCTTGTAGGTAGCTGAGTGCTATGTAATACACATATCCCCATTAGCGCACAGACAGGGTCGGTATATGCAGCTATCGTATCGTGTAACGACATAGTAGGTGTTGTTAAAGTGTTGTTAAATAATAGATAATCCCAAGATACGAGCAAGCAAAGTTCAGACTACCTAAACCATAACATTCAGTATTCGACATATAAGAATAACATTTATAAGCCTCGGATTTAAGAAGAAAGAGAACAAGCAGGCTAACTCATAAGCAGTTTTGCTCGTCAGGCACTACGAATCCTGATCAGCACTGCTTTGATGCAAACCCCTGTCAGATTCTCTCGGGCTGCCGGATGCCTTAAACCTACCGCTTTCAATGCCAGGATGTTGAACGTTGGTAGTTGGGCGTTTTGTGGGACTTCACGTAGTGCCCTTTAGTGCCTTTAGCTGCAACTCAATTGCGTTAGGAACTTAGGATGATTAGGATTCTTAGAAGATGCCAATTCACACTGCATTTCAGCCGTTCTCTGTGTTACTTGTATTATACTATCGACGCAATAAGATGGGAAAAGAGGAATTATAATATCAGATAAAAGTATTAACATATGTCTTTCGTAATATAAAATACTCGTAGTCTTACCATAGTCACATATCCATGTAAATTTATAAAATTTGGATGATCAAGTTGAAACGCATAATATATATATACGATAGTGTTATGACCAACTTCACGATCTGAGGTTAAAACAGACCGGCCCAGAACAAAAGCTTGTCGCGCTGGACGCCTTAAAAAAGCTTGTCTTGCCTCGTGCATAAACGAGTCGACCCACCCTCACATCCCACCAACCACATCTCGTCTCCTCCACGCCGGTACGTAGCAGTTGTAATGATGACATCGCAACTATCGACTCGACTCCAACGAGGCATCCAGCAAATAACCATCTTGCATGCATACCTATGTATCGTGACCCGTGGGTCTAATATTAACTTATCATCGAGGCGCTTACAGCAATCGCTTATACCTAACCTACATATTTCGCTTTCATTTTCCCATTTCTTTTTCTACATATCTCCGCCGGCGGGGAAATGTGCATGTTTTAAGATGAGAAGATCCTCCATTAGCTTACGGATAGACGATGTCTCGGATACTTACCGCGCTACAGGCTCTTCCCGAGCCTTCCGACCCCGAGGTTAAGAGGCTGCAATACATTGGTAATTATCTCACATCGTAGCGGAAGTCGTTCCGGGTTTAATTCGAGAATAATGAGGCACATGTAATTGCATACAATACAGCCCCGTAATATGGCTTAAAATCCCTTATTGAATCATCTCCGCGGCCTAGTCTAAGTTGGTTCCTGATAATTATATTGTACGTTACGTTACTCTGTGATTAGTATGTGAATAAAGGGTGATGACGATCGGTTACTTTTCCCGACTCATTTCCACCCATTTCCATGGGTTACATCGGGGCACACCGGGAAAGCCAAGAAAATATGCTCAACAGCATCTCATCGGTGTGGGCCCCGAAATTCCGTTCGATTACCCGAACTTGTCGGCCGGTTCTATTTATCTTAGGTACGTTTCCTGCAGCCAATTATCTCGACAAATCTAAGCTAATATCTCCTGGGAAGAATTCCAAAATAGTGGCATGTGTTCTTCCTACAACCCCTACATTACATCGTGACATAAGAGCATGTCAAATGATAGGCCGATAGGTTAACAAGGGTCATGGTCTGCCCACGTCTGCTTTCGCTAAATACTGTATTAAGACCTAAATAGGAAAACCCCATTCGTTTTTCCTGCACGGTGGTAGCTGCGGTACTTGTAGTCCCCAGTCAGTTAACCTAGGCGTAGGTGGTTAAGATGGGTACTTCATCAGACTCTTTGCTAGCACATGTACGTTGGTGCATATTCACTCAATCCTAGCATACCGCTTAACATCCACCCAATACTTCAGGCACACTTCAAAAGTATCGTCTTGCTTTTAGTGTACTTCTCCTCAGATTATACGGGCCAATAAACAGACAAATAGCCTTGCTCTCATAGATCGGTGCTGGCCGATAGTTTGATGCTTCTCATTGCAGTGATGTTGCTTTAGTACGTATTACTATATACCTACCCCAGGTTTGTTATCTGTAATATCTTTAACGGGTCGCCCTTCACACAATATACTCGCCCTATTAATCCTCAAGTCTGTTTCATTACCTATTTGCATCTAGACAAGACTTCTATCATCCCATTTTCCGGGTATCTTATCTTTGCTCACTGGAGACAAGATCTCCCATCTGTACTTGGTATACCTGCAATAATACACCGTATTAACCCTTTTATAGGATAGGGCTAGTATTTTCTACCCTCAAATCCCCTCCATTGCTTACTACCTACCTAACAAGTGCCCTATGATGGTGTAGTCACGATTCATTTCCTAACGTTTTATCACCCCCTTCACAAGCTTTGAGCACCTATCATTTGTCCGGGACTTAGAGATCGGCAATCTGAATACAGATACGGGCTATTGGTATTGCGTAGAATTAGGCGAGGTAGCATACAGACATGTGTAGGTAGTTATACATGCTACAGTGGGCTCGCTATTTGGTGATAAAATGCGTGCTCGGTAGATAAATATAGAAATAAATACCGAAGTGTCCCCAAGTAGCAATGATACTCCATACTAACTCAATGACGTGGTCGAAAGGGTCGAAAACTTAGAGCAGTGTACAGAAGTGAAGCGTTATCAGCACAGTCGTGGCTCACGCTTCGCGGGCAACTATTTCTCTTATAATCGTTTCCTTCAAAGCCAGAAACTTTCTTAAATAAGATAACAGCTATTTTTTAAATATTTTTACTACTACTATAATTGATTCTAGACGGAATATGCAAAAAGTACTTAGAACGGGCTTGTTTGGGGGTCCTTGAGGGGCACTGAAAGCGCAAGTTTTTCTTGTATTTCAGCACGATTCGTGTTGATAGCTGGCTGCCGTGGTAGTTAATTAACAGCGGTGGCCTTAGTAATAGGGACTATTCACCTTCAACTTTCGTCATTCTTCTTTACCCTTCGAAATTGTCATAGCAACGTTGCTAGTCCGCTTCTAGCTACAACAGATCCCTTGAATAAAGCTGGCTCGATGGCATGTGCATTATCAATCCTAATTAAAGGTTGCACGAAATGAGTTATATAGGTAGGTAAGTACCTACCTACCTTTTATCTAGTCGTATATCCATAGGACTTAGGCAGAGAATTTGCGAGTTAGCCCTAGTTGAATGCAGGCTGCGCTACAGGGAGTTTATCCCATATTAGTCGATATAGCCTAGCTATTGGGCTTTATCATATTTATTATTGCCAGTATAATCGATTTAGAACCTTAAAATATGAGAGATCAATTTTCACAATGATAATAGTTGCCCCCTACTTGGAGGAGCGTAATTTGGGAATGTTATTCACAGCTACCCTTGTCGTCCAGCTGACCCTTTTACGCTCGGATCTACCCACCAATTAATGAACTAGCACTATTAAATGAGCATTCGAGCTATACGTTTCCGACCAAGAACACAGATATTTGACCCTTTGGAAGGATAGGTAGTCGCTGAAATATTTATTTACTTTGTCTCATGTAATATTTACTCGGTTGAACGCGTTATGATGATCCCCAAGTTTACTTTGTAGAAAGCTCTTGAACCTGCGGCTAGAATGCTGGTACATGGACGAGTTGTGATGGCTACGATAGGGCATTAAACTCTTCTGTGGGAACGGGAGTGTAGGTCTTAATGCTGGCTTTCGCCTCCTCGCACCCAGAGAGTGCTGCGCTTTAATTAAGTAACCGGACAAGACTAAGGATAGCGTACCAGACTCCAAGGGTTTACAAGAGGTTATTCTGACCCTTATAAACTTCTTGAAAAGGCATGTCTTCTATGAGAAGTTGTAAATGTTCAAAATACTTGGAAATAAGGGGGCACACCTCGCGTCCGGAAGTATCTCGGATCAACACCTAATTACTGGTTGCTGCGATGAGGGAAAAGCCAGCACTAATATCACAAAATGGGATAGTAGGCGGGATATATAGAGTGCAATCATGATTAAGTGGCAACAAATCAAAAATATTCACACCATCAATCGAGTGCTCGGCAATTGGGATATGATGTCCTACGGAAAATGCATGTAATTCACTCATTAAAACACTTAACGGCAGCAGAAAAAATGTCGATAACGACAATCTATTTTTCCGGCTTATAGCGTGTAAAAGCACTACGGATTTTTTCTAAATAACACCTCCTATGCTATCCTCTCGATTGTATATCGGCTCCTAATGAAGGACGAATTATGCGGATGCACTTTAGGGAGCAGTGGTGCTGCTAGGCGGGGGAGGGAACGAGCTGCCGGGCGGACCTCCAGGACCTCCAGGACCGCCTGGGCCACCGGGGAAGCCACCGCCGGGAGAAGCAACACCGCCTCCCTCGTAGTAGTGAGCGGCAGCGTGGGCGTAGGCAGTCTGATTGGCCTTGGTGTCGACGAAGACAGTTAGGTACGCCAAGAGACCGTCCTGGAGTTCGCTACCAAGGAGAACGTAGTCGACAAAGGGGTCGTACTCGGCAGTAGAGGTCTCGGCGTCGATGCCGTCTTCAGAGTTGAGGGTGAGACTCTGGGTGTTGGTGTTGTAAGGCGCGAGCTTCTCTACGGCAGTGATGAGGCTCTGGTCGAAGAAGAGCTGACCGATGTGGTTGGGCTTGCCGTCCGTCAAGTAGGTGTTGTTGGGAAGAACGGTGGCGTTCTCAGTGCTCATCAAGTGAATGTGAGGCGCTCGACCGGTGTAGTGACCCGGGAAGATAGTATCGAACTGAACCACACCCTCGTCGTCGGTGGTTTGGATACCACGGCCATGAGTAGTGTTGAGACCTCCCTGCCTCATCATAGAGACACCGGAGTATACACCGGTAGCATTGCAGTGCCAGATGTCGATCAGCAAGTTAGGAATAGCTGCAAGCGTGTTGACGTCAATGAATTGCAGGTCTAGATGGACAGGCACTCCGGCTTGGTTGTCGGTAACATCAACCTGTAATGATTAAGTTAGCGCTTGAGAAAGGCATATGTTTTTCACCATCAGAAATCGGGTGCAAAGAATAATCGAGGATAAACGTACTCGGATTAGTTCTCCCGCTACCCAATAGGGGCCAATAGTAACCTCAGGAACAAGAGCGGCGGTTGAGTTCGAATCGAAGATAACGTCCAACGGGGTATCTAAGGTGTAACCAAGTTCCGTAGTGTCGTGCGTGACGTTCAAGTATTTCTCAAGCTCAGCCTGGCCCCTCTTGGACTTCATGTGTTCTATTTCAAAATTAGTGAGAAGAAGCATGGGGTATTCTGGGATAGCTTACTGTCGGTGAGGCCACGCTTCTCACGGAGACTCTGAGCAGTGGCTGCACGGCGAGCAGCTGCACGAGCTTTAAGAGCGGCCGTATCGGGAGTTTTGCCATAGTTGGTGATAGCACGACGAGCTCCTGCCTGAGCATGCTTGTGCATAGCCCTCTCGTACTTGACTACTTCTTTGCTATCGCCAGGGTGGGCGACGGCAGCACCGTTGAAAGAGGATACCGCCAAAGCGGCGGTGATCGTGCGCAGGTTAACCATCGTGAACCAAACTTAAGAGCCTTGAGAGCTCAAGAGAGTGAAAAAGAAGTTGTGGAAAGAGTGAAAGCCCTGGCTGGAACAAGCCAGAATAGAAGCAGATAAAATAGAGGAACAAACATAGGTATTTATATCTTCAACAACGGTCTGTTCAAGAAAGGCAGGTACAATATACGTTGCCGATCAGTCACCGCCAATTCGAAGTGTTGGCAAGTGTCGCCATCACGCAAAATCGCGGCAGTATCATCTCCTTTGTCTCTCTAATGACACCCTCCTAAATTGGTCCCCCTGGCGATATCCCCCCCTCCCCCCCCCCGCGAGTTCGTGGGATCTCCATAGATTCACCCAGGGATCTAATATCAAATCATACTAAAGGACCCTACCCGCTTCGGCATTGCAGCTAAGATTGGTAGGTATCGATAGCCAATGAAAAGACAGCGGTTGAAAACGCAGCGATGCAAAAGGCTGGCCTGAGCCAAAACTGACGTCTAAACGTATTCCATGCAGATATAACTACCTACCTAGTTAGTTAGGTTATATGAAACTCGCGTGTCCTAGTTTACATAATCTAGTTAACTAATAGATATTATAGACTTGTTAGATATGTTAGTTAAGCTAGCTATTGATTTTGGAAAGTCTTGATTTTGATATCTTGACTCTCCTAACTCGTATTATATTACTGTTGTTGTTTATTGGCGATTACAAGCAACTGAACCTCCCGTAATTCATACTCCTCAATCCCACAATTTGATATACCCCACCTAGAGCATCGAAAATGGAAAGAGTAGAAAGGAGACTTTTACCCATAAAAGAGGTGTTGGCCCCGTGGAGCTGGCTTTCTATGTACACTAGCGACGAAAAAGGTTCCCTTTCCTAATAGCTACTTTAGGTTCTTCTCGCAATAGGTTCTCGCAACCCTTAAGTCTTGATGTCTCATTGAACGATATAAACGTTGATGAATCGTCGTGTAGTTTTGCTAAGTTTCAATCGAATACTGTGGTTGATGTAACGTGGACGCGCGGCTCTCCTATACTATCCAATACTAAGATGGCGCCAAGAAGTTACTATTACATGTTGAGTAGTTATCTATATGGAATACAAGGCTCAAGGCACGCTAAAGGAATTTCACGTTTCTCTTACGTCCTGCGAATCCTGGCATCGTGACTGTGATAGGTACACATATTACACGTAGATCATAACGAGCCTCCAACACCATACATAGTAGCTACGAAATTTTTTATGTGTGGAATCATAGTCGAGATCCACAACCCATGCTCTTGGCCAAGACTTAATCCACGTTTATACCCCACTTTAACTACATATTATCCCCTTGCACATGTCATGCATGATAGAGAAAAGCCTATTAGCAAGGAGTTAGCAAATAGGAGGCCCGACAATGGTAAGCGGAGGTGAATCTGAAAGGAAGGTGGATGAGGACTTGATGTAAGCAAATATGGTATCACCGAGATGGGCCGAATAGCTGCCTGTAGATTGTATTCTCTTCGAAACTTACCTTCCTTGAAGATAGCGTCGAGAAGAATGCAATGATGCCATTAGGGTGAATCAAGACACAACACATCCCTATGTTTGGATTCTAGGTATTTATGGGTTGTGTTCATTCTCGGTACAAACTGGTTCTAGTCTAATGGTTATTCGTAACCCTAATCCCTTCATTGTCTATGATTTGCATAGCGAAGTCCATAAAATCCAAGGAGGCAGTTCGATATTCCTATCAATACTTTTACGCCATTTCCAAGCAGTAGTATATCTCTCTTAATGCGTACTGGACCTCTCCTCCCCGAAAAGGGGTTTCTTCTACCAGTGATAAATATTAAGCATATAAACGTAACGGGAATCTACATTGAAAGGCTGCCATGGTACAACCTGTTCTCCCCTGAAGGAGTCTTTACTATTAAATATACCATATGTGGAATGGCGAGTTGCTTCTACTTTTCAGCTTATATATTGTAGTATCGAACAGCTTTAACGGACAGTGGAATCCATTTCCTCGTTCATCGGTCCATATTTATCTAATCCAGAGTGATATGTCAATTTACATGAGATTTGAATTTCAATTCCAGCCCTGCAATCCTTCTTTGCTGACGTACTCTACTGCTGAATGATTTGAGGATGAACTGCTTTCGGGGATATTGTGTATAAATTCGTATATAGAATAGTGCCATGACAGTGGAAACGACAAGCGGAGTAGTACTATAGCATCGATTCTATTATTTTGCAGTACATCTTACGATAAGTTATTTTGCAACTACCTACCTATATTAACACAAAAAATACTAAGTAATATGTTTTCCTCTTATATATAATAAAGATAGGTCCCTCAAAAAAAGAGAGTTTGGACTGGACGCTAGATGTGGCTTTAGTAACGTATACACCGTTTTAAAAAGATTCATGATAGTATTAAATAAACATCGCGATTTGTATTTATGTTCTCGTCGTGAAGTACTAACAAACAGCCATATAAGGTTAATTATTCTCATGCAAAAACGCTTGGACGGATTCTCTTGTAGTTGCACAACTCAAGTAACGTAACGAGCCGCAATAACGTAGCATTAGGTTTCATACGATATATCATTCTTAAGCTTAACCCATGAATTTACACATATTAAATGACATATGCGTTCTCATATATTAGCCGGTCGCTTATGCACGCAATACGTTGCCAATCAACGTTAGTATCCTTGAGCTTTAACCTAGCACAACCCCGAAAACGTACCCCACAATGGGAACCGAACGCGGCAAATGGACCCAAAGACCTTAACCGAGTAGCAAAAGCTTGGTCGTATTTATACCCAGTCGTATGAGATTTCCTTGAGCCGGTAAACATTGAGAAGTTGGATAATGTTCCGCGACTGTCCAGAAAGATGCCAAGCCATGATGGGGTGATTCTGTAAATGAGTTTGGGAACACAAACAGGTCTGGTTATGAGTCGCTATGATACTTTACTTGGCATGAAATATATATATTTCTTCCGAGGTTCTAATTACCCAACGACTTAGCTTTTTAACAGGCATTGATGGTTTCATATACAACGGAAAACCGGTAGGTATCAACCAACTTAAAAGTCGTAAAAGGTAGTTAAGCATCCCTACAAACTAGAGGTCATAATTAACCGGGCAATGAGGTATACATGACTATTAAAAAGAATACAATGACTGGAGACAGGTCTTATAAAAAAGAAAGAAAAAGGAACAAAACGTACAACACTGGGGATTCGCTGGTCGTCACCGACCCAACTACTAATCCAGCGATATCTGGTTTATCGAAGGGGAGAGCGGACGGGATCCCGAGTTTTCCAGATTCTATGGTCGTACGTGAAAGAGCGTTGTCGAAAAGGCGTTTATATACTTGAGGTTGTTTTCAAGAGAAGAATTGGAAAGCCGAATCTCCACCAATCAGATGGGCCAGTTTTATATTGTCTAGAAGTAATACCAAGCTACGAGTAACTGGGATTGGATAGACGCCTCGTTTCATTAACTATTATCTTGTCACTACTTAGTTTCTAGAAGAAACAATTTTTAAAAATCCATCGTCAAATTCAGACTATTATCAACCAGTCTGCCGAATGTCGGGATTAAACAAACAAGCCCAGCACCCATATCATCCAATCTGCAAAGAAGTTGCTCCCTCTCCAGTATTGGACTTTATTTCTCTGGTATACGCGTAAACGACACGAAAATTAACTGCCTACAATTCTGACTAGACACCTTCGGGGTGATCTTTCTCCCAAACCAGCTGTTTCCATCGCAGTTCCTCGGGAGAGAACTTTCTGAAGCGCTCCTCTGCGCATATATTTAGGAGTCTTTCGAAAGAGTAAACCGTGTGAGCCTCGGGCATGTCATAGTAGGTTGCTGCCCCTGTGGTTAGGGGGACCTCAACCCTTTCTTCGTTGTTGGGATTAGTCGATACTTTGGGTTCCTTGACATTGCCTGAGCTTCCTCCAAGTTAGCCAACTGTACAAATTTCCAGATATTCAAGTATGTCTTACCTCGTTCCGGCCACAGGATACGAGGACAGAATGTTTCCCCCGTTCTTTGGGCCCTGTGACCCGCTCTCTTCCTTTCCTTTCTCCTTCGCATCCTGATTCTTCTGCGGATCCTGGTCGAGAACTAGCTTAGGTTCTAAATGCTCAACTCCTCGGTTTTGAACTTCGTGAAGATGACCCTGAATTGTAACCACGACAGCGGGGCGTCGTTGGGACGCGTGGACTTTTTCGCGACATAGCTCAATTGTGGTTCCAACAAGGAGACTGGCAATTGAAGTACGGTAACCAAGGCTCTGCGAATCACTGAATTCGATAGGAATTGAAGGATTATCGACGAGGCGTTCGACTAGAGACTTGAGAAAGTTGCGAAGCCATGTATCAGTATCGGGAAGAGTCGGGTACATATCCTTCACCGCGTCAAGGAGTTGCATTACTTGTATGCGGCCCCCGAGGCGTTCCATTTCATCTTTGACGAGATTCTTCAGGGGGAATAGGAGGCAGTCTCCCGCAATCTTGTATACTTGGGCACATGTTATGAATTCATCAATGTCCTTGTCCTTCTCACATGTGCATATGCCTTTTAGATTGAGATACTGGTATGTGCCCGCGTAAAGAAAGTGGACGATAACATGTCCACAATCGCCAGGGAAACTTATCAGATACTCTTCTAAATCGGAAATTTCGTATGAGAAAAACTTCTTGTACAATGTAGTAGGAATGGTGAATTCTAGTCCATCTTCGAATCGTAGAATCGTTTGAGGGCCGGCGTATGGGCTTAAAACAATAGTTAGTATCGATTTATCATCACACATAGAGAAATAAAAGGAGCCTTACGATGACTCTAGTCGGTTGTTAGCCATAATAGCAGTACTGGCCGCTTGGTTTTGGCAGCCGGAGAGTGGAACGGTAAGATAGTCCTGTATCTATTGTTGTGATTTCGTATGGGACGAGGTGGTGTTGTTTCTTGATGTGTTGAAAAGCTGTTCGTGTTTTCCGTAGCTGGAACCAGAATGTAGAAGAAATAACGAGGGGCAGCTCTTCCTATCGTCCAGTCATCCTGTCCGTGCATGAAAATATGCCTACAGCAACCAACTGCCAACCTTCCTTTCATATCGTCACCTACCTATGCGCACCCAGGCAACCAACCGCCCCATGCACCTTAGGTGTCGAAGGTACATTCTAATCATACACATGTTGAACTTATCATTGAGCAGCTGACTTTCTTGCTGGTAGGACTCTATGCAAAATAGATAGAGAAATGAACCAAGCCGGAGAAGATCAACCCCTTACTCACGTAGTATTAACTTGCTAGCATATCAGTTTTTTCAGCCACGCGTTTTTACCGTTTGTTTAATTAAAATCGTAATTATGACTTGAGACTCGCCATATTGTTAATAAATAGAGCCTTTATTAGTGTCTATCATAAATCTGAAATTTCACTCTACTCGGATGATCGAGATAGGCACACCAACTACCAAACCCCAACATCTAACTCAAAGCACAACCAGGTCAGCAACCACAGCCCGATGGTCGCTAATAAAAACACCGTCTATATCATTATTCAGGAACTCAAACTGTTGCGCCGAGTACCGATCCTCGCCCTTAGGACCGAACCAGACAAAGTCGATGCGGCTCTTGCCCGTCGTCGAAAAGCCCGTGTACGTTAGCTGATTAGTTCCCAGCCGTTTCGCCCCCGAGTTCCACAGCTCGGTCAGATACCCCGTGCCATCGAGCGTAGTGTACGCATCGCCGCCTGGCTCCGAGTTGAAGTCGCCGGTTAACGTTACGCCCAAAGGACCGTACGTATCCTGCACAGCCCGGATGCGCGACAAAACGACCTTGATCCCCTCGCTACGCGCCTGCGAGCTCACGTTGTCTAGGTGCGTATTGGCGTGGATGAAGCGCTTTCCGGTTCCGATGTGCTCGAAGACAGCAATCACGCTGACTCGTCGGCTACCGGCACCCCATCCGAACGAGACCTCGTCTGGCGTAGGCGACAGCCACTTCTGCTCGCTGTATAATAGCTTGAGAACGTCGGTGCGGTAGATGATCGGGTTGTACTCGCCCTTCTTCTTGCCGTCGTCTCGGCCAAAGCCAAAATGAGTCCAGACGTCGGTTCCCAAACCGTTCTTAATGTCGTTTAGTTGGGCGTCGAGAACTTCTTGCAGGCCCAGCACCGACACAGCCCCGGCCGCCGATGCATTGGCGGTTACTGACTTGAGTTGGTTGATGAGACCTGTGCGGCGGCCCGACCAGGGCTTTTCATTATTATCAAGAGACGTCGCGGCGTACCGAATGTTGAACGAGACGATGCGCAGAGGTAGACTTGCTGCCATGGCTACATTGGTGGCAGCTAGGAGATTAGTGAAGGCGGTTAAGAGCTTCATCCCGGCAGGGTGTATTTAATATCTACCACTACGAAGTGAAGGTACTAAGATGACAGTTGATTTGATGATCTAACCCCGATTATTTATACCTGAGAAGGAGTTTAAAACCTTCGGTCGCCCCCGAGATCACGACTTGATTTTAACGCACGCCATTGCTACCCAGCTTCTAATTCAAGGAAGCTCCGAGTTGGAAATCCTACAATAATGCCAAAAAGTAGCACGTGGGGTGACACCAGATCTCGAAAGCAGCTTGGCTGCAGGTTTTTAGGATAAATCCGCTACGTATTTGTGTGCCAAGATACGACGATAATACGATGTGCCGATACGGGTGGTGTCTACGTCTTTAATAGGAAAACAGTGACTGAGGTACCTATCTAGCTTAAAGAAAGTGGTGCTGTATTGTACGGTGCCAATGGACTCTTAACACTTATAAACATCTTAGCATTATGGGAGCCAAAGCAAAACACCGCATTTTATTTACAACAATGGCAATTTCAATACATATGATAACACAGGTTGCTTCTTCCTAGGTCTATCAATTACAAGTTTACGAACTAACTATGCATAGATCCAATAGAATCGCATCGAGTCTTAACAGAGACAGTGTCACTTGTTTCAGTTGGGATTTATAAACTCCTATAACGTCCCTAACAATAAGGGGTTCCCAAACATGGAACACATAGGTACCTGTAACTAGGAATCATAACGCTACGAAAAGAAAAAAAACCAGCAACGCAAGAATCGCCGCTAAATTTAAATGCCTTTAATATACGTAAAGTTTCTATATACCTTCCATCGCATCTCCCAACCTATATACATCCACCCAAGTTATACTCCCTCTTCCCCCTTTCTTCGGAACCCCAGTCCCTATACCAACCCATCTCTCGACCGTTGCGCCTAGCTGTTGCGAGAGCAGCCGCTCTTCTCGGTGAGGGCCGAGGGGCACGTGACCTGCTTGAAGGAGACGGCCGGGTTGTCCGCGCCGCCGAACCAGTCGAAGCGCCAGTAGCAGCCGGCCTTCAGCGCCTCGGGGAACCCGTCGCAAGCCGAGCGCGAGCTCACACCGCCGTACCGCTCGCCCCACCCGTTAGCCGGAGCGCCGTACTGGTCCGTGCAGGCGTTGAAGATCCCGACACCGCCGCCGGGGATCTATATAAGGGGTCAGTGCTTGCTTGTCTACCTAATATATTCGCTCCAGGTATGGGAGGGGAGGGCGAGGAGTGGAGAAAGAGAGAGAGAAAGAGAGAGAGAAAGAGGGAGAGAAAGAGAGAGAGAGAGACAAATGTATGACAAGAGTAAGAAAGAAACAACATACCGCAAGATCAAAGTGATTCTCGCCCAAGTCACCTCCCGTGTTGCTGGCCTGGACGATCATCTTCTTGCCGCTAACCGGACCGCTGGTAAAGGTCAATTCGTAGCAAGCGCAGCACCAGGTAGTCTCGGTCTGTCCCTGGATCCTCACGGCGGCCCATCCGTAACTGAGAGTATCGTCAACAGCCCACGGGCTCTGGTTGCTGCACATGTATGCCGAGCCGCCGCTGTCGCACGCGCTCTTGGTCGCTCCGTTGTCGCCGAGCGGCTGGTCCGCCTTGCTACAGGTACCGATCATTTTCCCGCTGTCGGTCTTCTGTGACCATGCGCAGCTCGGCTTGCAGCAGTCCCAATATCGTGTCGTCTTTCCCGACCCGGACGCCTGCGCCGATGCTAACTGCGCTAGCAAGGGGACCGCGAGTCCCAAGGTTGCTGTAAGCTGCATTGTTCCTTTTGAGATATGTTCGAACTAGCTGTATTTTCGTATCGAGTTTACGGCATGAAGGTAAGAAACAAAAAAAAAGGAGCAGCACGCAATCCGGAAACCGGCCAGCCTTTAAAGATGTCACGACCGTGCTGAACTACTTACACTTACCAGGCTGAAAGTAAGGCCGCCGATCTTATCCCCTCACAATGGCCCACCGGAAGTAGTAATATCTTTCCATATTCATGGAGTCTCTGGGCACTCTGTCGTTAGGACGGCTTGAGTCGTGTGGCGACCCGCCCTGGCGGAATCTTGCATGGCATTATAGGTGATAATATAGGTGATATATAGGGATTGTCGCAGGTAAGACCATGTTAATGGAACGGAGCTTAGCTGGGTGGGGCTAGGGCCTGGCAAAATTGGGAAAACTATCTGGAAAAAGGCTTGGTGTCCAATAGCCGTCGGGATTCTACCTCCGTGAGGTCATACTAGAAGTAGGGCAGCTTAAGAGGACCTCTTTGGCAATGCCCCACTATAGTGTAGCTAGATGCGGAGAAGACATATAACTTATAGCTAAACTCTTGGATTATATCTTGCATACGATGTAGTCACCATTTTATTAATTTAATCATAAAGTGGTAGTATCATTCTGAATAAAGCTTGGTTAACTTGCTAAAGAGATAGAACTAAGTAAAAGCTTGCATCATTGTAGCTTTACCTACGTCGTAACTTTTGGGAGTATCCTCAACGCAACGCGCGTCGAAATCCCCCGTGATCATGCTCGGACAACCTAAGAACTCCTCGCCAAGACCGCCAGCCGTACCGTCAAGAGATATCTAATTCGAACGAAACCTTCTCTAAAGGCCCCATCCGCTGCCTCCTTCGTCACGGCGGCGGCGGCTACCCTCGTCAAGGGCGTCACCAACTCGGCTTATAACCGTATCTAGAAAACCACCTTCATCATTGTCACGACGATCTTCAGATCTGTATTCAGAACTTTCCTCGCGACGTTCGTACCTATCGCCGCCGTAAGACTCTTCCGAGCGTTCCTCGCGACGTCCGTAACCGCCACCGCCGCCGTAGTTATCATTATCATTGCTACCACGCCGACTCCGGTTGCTGGATTCCTGGTAGTTGTCGTTACTTTCATACCGACGTTCGGTGCGTTCCTCATATCCACCGCCGTAGCTCGGACGAGTATCGGTGCGCTCTTGGTAACCGTAGCCTCGACCCTCGTTTTCATCTTGCTCGTAGCGGCGATATTCCCTGGTCTCACCTCCCTCGGAATTTCTGTTCTCGGAATATTCAGCTTGGGCATAGCGATCCCCAGAGCGTCCGTATTCAGTGCGGCTCTCAGTATACGATCCATCGTCTTCCTGGCGCCTGCTCCCGAAAGATTCGGTTTCATTGCTCTTGAAAGCCCCGCCTAGAAGAGAGTTTCCGAGAGCCCCGAGAAGTCCACCACCGCCGGAACTACTGGATCCTTGATTTCCGGTGCTGGGTAACTTGATTTGTCCGCCAGATTGGGCACTTACGAATTCAGAGACGCCACCAGTGAGGCCCCCGACAATAGCACTAGCAGCTTGGCTTGCGATACGGTCTTCCATAGTTCCGCCCTCAGCGAAATTTTTGTGCATTCCAAGAGGCTTTCCACAACCATGACCGGAATCGTGGACACCTTCCTTGTGATTCTCGCCGTTAAATACGCCATCGCGAGAAAGCTTTTGGCGGTATTCATCCTTGGCGCCTTCGTCCATCTGGTTCCACCACTCCTCGACGGAGCGGAACATGATTTGTCGCCCATCACGAGCCCCATCTTCTCCCATATCACGCTGAGCTGGATGGTGTAGCACGCCATAGATAATACGGGTCATCAGGCGATCAATATCAGCACCTTCGTCATCCCAGGCATCCATTATCTGAGGAACAACCCAGTAAACGACCTTGCTAGCAGTCTTTCCTGCAATCTCGTTAAGGATCTTTAAGATAGTTAGTATGATAAATAGTTAGATTAAGTGGTAGCCACTCACGTTAGTGAAATGATCCTTGGAGAGCATGGAGTGCGTCGGATCACTGCAGTCATCATCGTCAAAGACGATATGCTGCTCGTTCTTGCTACTCTCAATGATTTCGGACGAACCAGTACGAAGTTCATTCTTAACCTGCTGGATAATAGGAACCACGAAGGGCGCCATAATCGAGAATGTCCACATCGAGAGCTGCTCCTCTAACTGTTCAATGATCTGGGGTAGAATGGGAATTTTCTCAACCGCCTCGCTGATATTCTTCATAAGATCATCGTGGAACTCAATGGCAGGCATGATCTGCTGAAAGACTTGCTGGATATACGCCGTAAATTCTTCCGGTTCTCTTGGGGAGACTGATGTGTTAGCCATCTGCGCATTGGCGGCGTCGCTCTGGATATCTTCCATCTTCTGCTTCTTGTTGTCGCCGCCAAAAATACCATCTGGGATCTTGTCAATGAGTCCTTCCAGAATGCTTGTATCGTTTTTCCTTGAATTCTCCTCGAGAGTGCCCTCGAGTTCTTGGATTTCATTCTGCGTCAATTTGTCCGAGACTAAGAGGATGGAGAGTTAGATATGCTAGAAAAGTTTGCCAAGTAAATTTTGTAGGGTGTAGCTAACCTTCTCCCGTAACAGAGTGTAGGAAGTCGACACCGCCAAAGGTTCCAGTAATGCAGGGGTAGACCTCATGTCGAGCCCCAGGGATCTGAATTTTGGTGTTTCTACCGACGTGTGGAAAGATATCTCGCTCGCCAAGCTCGATAAGCGCCAACTCCGTGTAGTTACTGTGGGCTAAGAAATCTATTCGATCTCGAGTTAGCTTTCTATAGACACAAGAAAGAGCATTTATAGCTCAAGATGACACTAGACACAATACCTTCAAGACAATGGAGACCAGTTCCAAGCAATCGCAAAGCCTCATACAAATCACTCTTCCTGTTGCTCTGCTTGTAGGATCGGCCAAGTTCGATGCAACGACCAAATAGCCGTCTAATGTGCTGTGCCGAAGTCATTATTCTAGAATTTTCGTTGGCAATGTAGTTCTTCATCCCCGTCTCTGGGTCGACAGCGAGCTCGACACGTTCATCAACGGGACCACGCAGTCTTTGGTCATATTGACGTGCATCTTCGTTGTCGGCATAATTCTTGGGGTTGTCGATGTGGTCTTCGGGTCGGTAGCAGCCAAGGCGCTCGGCAGTGACTTCAAATTCTTTGGAGCCATAGCCAAAGGTCAAGAAGCCAAGAACACATAAAAGGAGTCGAATAGCTTCGGCAGAGACTGACTTGACCGTACCGACATCGATGGCTTGGGAGTAATCTCGAAGCCAGTTACCGAAGTAGACACGGGAAACCATAAGCTTGTTGAACTTCTTGCCCCCAACGGCTCGGGCCATTATGATTGAAAGAAGGGTGTCTTCAATATCTCCATGACGCCCTAGACGCAATTTCAGGTTAGATTTCCCAGAGAAATGCTTTCACAGCCCACACGAGGAGAAAACTAACAGTTCTGTCCTTCAACCTTGGAGATGCCTATAACGAGAAAGTTAGCCCTATCAGCGTGAGGTTTGCGCTATATCATTATTGACTAGCAGGTAAAGCATACCGGCGATGTTACCAGCACCAAAGGCGAGGGCCGGCCGAGCGAACACAAAAAGGAATACCAACCCCAAAAAGGCGGGGAAAGGCTTGAGGGTGATCATTTTTGGATCTATCGATAATGTTTAGGTATATAGTGAATATTGATGCTTTGGTAATAATGTTAGACGATTGAGTTGGTGTTTTGACCTTAAACTAGATCAACTGAGAAATAAGGCCAACTTAATTTGCAAGGAAAAGCCACAAGTAATAAGCTGATGATGTTCGGGGGTGACGTGATAAGGGACTGCACATTTGAAGGAATATGGAAAGAAAAAGGAGGGGGAGGGGTAGCAGGAGCTTAGCTGTGCTACGTAAACGTAATCCTAGTATTAGGTATTAGGGTGTTAGTGCAACAAATAGCCAGTCTTGGAGGGGAGCGAGAGGTCCATTGGTTGGCTCGTGTTTCAACTCATAACTCATGTAACTTATGCATATGTCCGCCAAGACCGCTATACCGGTTTTAAGTGGATCCCATTTGATCATAACTGAAACGATTTATACAAGCATGGAAAGGGCGAGTTTATGGATGTACTCAAGACTTCTATTTACTAGCTTGCAGTTACGACAGTAACTGTAGAAGTACAAGAAGCACAGTAGGTACTGTGCAATCTACTATCGGAAATCCGGCTCTGAAAAGACAGGGGACTCAAGCTTCGAGGTTAGCTTCTAATAATACGCGTAAACCAATGTTGAACGTGTACGAAATCAAAACATACGATAGAACTATGTGATCAATCTAGTTATAGGTTTTACCAAAGTAATATATCTGTTTTTAATGTATCTGATTTCATATACGCATTTTCATTTTATCTTTCTCTTTGTGCTTTGAACGATGATCTACACGAGGTCTGATTGGCGATCAAGCCTAACGTTTCAAGACCTTAATGCTCCTGCCTGCCGGCACACGTGCATCCTGGGTCCGGGACAGTTATCCGGATCGGATAAGTGGATTCTCCGGACTGCAATGGCGTCAAGCTGGTAACCGCCGTGTAACATGTAAATTGACATGCAATCTAAATGTTGGAAAGATCTTTTTCTATGAACCCGGTTTATTTTGACGCGACCTGTTTACTTCAATTGTTGTTGCTTACCTGCCTAAGATACCTGATTTCTTACTCTTAACCCCAACCGGTTACCATAGTGGTTCAGGTGGGTCATTGCTATTGTATGTATTGATATGGTTGTAAATCCCTTCATATGATTTAGACAAATCATCAGGAGCCTATCGTTGAATCTTCCGGCAGTATCTTTGTATTTATACTGACTTGTGATAATAGTAACTTTTAACTAGTACATCTTGTAACATCTTGTTTTTATTATAAAGGTTCTTAAGAGAATGTGCCATCAGGTAGAATAATATACCTATAATACTTATTCAATACCTTGGGAGACCCGACCCATGTTGGGTAGGTTAAGTCAAGTCATTTTACAAACTTTAACACGGGTTGAATATTCGGATCCATGCTGGATATGTATTTCACTTGGTGCCTTACTACTAGACAGGCTATTGTTGCGTGGTCATCGTGTGATATTATCTTTAGAGGGAGGTAGGTTGCAAGTGAGGGGTAATGTGCCTGGCTTCAAGCCTTGACTTAGCGAGGCACCCAAAGCTGTTCCGACATAACTACCGTAGGTTAATTATATCATATATCACTCGGGAAAGCCGTTACTTTCAGCGTGAATACATGAGCCCTGAATGCCATGTCCTGTATTCAAATGGCAGTTCCTTAAATTAGTAGTTGTTTTAACGCAAGTAGAACCTGCTATTTACACAGAGGCACGTCTCTGCTAAAACGCAAAGCGATCATGTCAATTGCCAAGTGCACGTAAGCTATTATAGTCACTAATCACTGAGTTGTTAGATCATGCTCTTTAGGTTATATTCGCTGAAGTCGA